TCCACCAACACCCCCAGGTCCTTTTCTGCAGAGTTACTCCTCAACAGGTCAGTCCCCAGCCTATACTGGTACATGGGTTCATGGTGCATCTCCTGACTTATCCTTCAGGTCCCTCCTCTGAACCCCCTCTGGGTTCCCTCAGCTTTGGAAAAAGGGAACTTTAATGAAAAATCAGTACTGCAGGCTGAAACCAATTGGGCACCATCAACTTCTTTTTACTGTAGTTTAATTCCTCTTTAATTCCTCCAGTTAATTAGTGCTGGGTGCGGAGCTCCCTGATTGAAGGAGTGGTCCCTGCGCTCTCCCATGTCTGCTTTGTCACATTGTCCAGGCTCTCCCCACCTCAACCCTCGCACCCCTTTCCTTCCCATCACCAGAGGAGCTTTAGGGCCCCTTCCACCCCAAACCATTCTGTGAGTCTGCCTAATGCCTCATCTAAATCTGCCCCTTCCAGTTCAAAGCCATCACCCCTCACCCTATCTCTCCATCCCCCTGTAAAAGGTCCATGTGGAGACAGGACAAGATAAAACAAGATTATTTCAGGATGGGCACTGCATTCAGGACTATGTTCACCTGGAAGGGAAAGCTTCAGCTCCAGCTCCAACCTGGCCGGTCCGGTGCATGCCCCTGGGGCGCTCGCTCCTCCTTCACAAACTGCACTGGGGATGCAGGACAGCTCCCCAAAATAACGCCTTGTCCCCAGCTGCGTCAGGGGGTGAACGGGCTGCTGCCTCCTTCACCTCTCCGCTTGATCCTGAGTGAGCTGCAGCATGTAATAATGTAATGTAATGTAATGTAATGTAATGTAATGTAATGTAATGTAATGTAATATAATGTAATGTAATAAAATGTAATGTAATAAAATGTAATGCAATGCAATGCAATGTAATGTAATGTAATAATGGATGCAATCCAGTCTGTTTCACCAAATTCTGCCTGTCAGCAACAAACTCCGGCTGCGTGCCCATGGCTTCCTATGCAGATACCATTTCACAGAATCACAGAATCCCAGAATCCCAGAATCCCAGAATCCCAGACCGTTAGGGATTGGAAGGGACCTCCAAAGCTCACCCAGTCCAATCCCCCTGCCGGAGCAGGAACACCCAGATGAGGTTACACAGGAAGGCGTCCAGGCGGGTTTTGAATGTCTGCAGAGAAGGAGACTCCACAACCTCTCTGGGCAGCCTGGGCCAGGGCTCTGTCACCCTCACTGAGAAGAAGTTTCTTCTCCAATTGAAGTGGAACCTCCTGTGTTCCAGTTTGTGTCCGTTACCCCTTGTCCTATCATTGTTTGTCACCGAGAAGAGCCTGGCTCCATCCTCGTGACACTCACCCTTGAAATATTTATAACCATGAATGAGGTCTCCCCTCAGTCTCCTCTTCTGCAAACTGAAGAGCCCCAGCTCCCTCAGCCGCTCCTCAGAAGGGAGATGCTCCACTCCCTCCATCATCTTTGTAGCCCTACGCTGGACTCTCTCCAGCAGTTCCTGTCCTTCTTGACCTGAGGGGCCCAGAACTGGACACAATATTCCAGATGTGGTCTCACCAGGGCAGAGCAGAGGGGGAAACTGCAGCCTTTTCATGGACACAGGAGCGATGGAGGGCGCTCACCCATCCTTGCTCCGGCTTTGCCTCCTCCTGCGGAAAAGCAAGAGCAGGAGCACCATGGGGGTACCCAGAGTTTGGTTAGCTGCTGTTGACATCTTCATGTTCACCAAAACTTCTCCTCTCCCAGCAAGCCTCTGGTAGAAATAATACTGGCAGGATATCTCCTTCTCTCCAGGTCGGAGCTGGACTTCCCATCCGCTGATGGAACAGCTCCTTGTGCCTGCAGTTTCCCTGTCATAGCTGAGGGACCTGACCTCTCTGGGCTGTTCCCAGGTGGATCCCAGCTTCCAGAAGAGCTCTTGCACATGGGGAAGTGTCTGCATGGTTGGGTGCTGCAACCCCTGGACACAAAGCCTGTGAGTCCTGGTTGGACAAAGCTGGCTCTGAGAGGGCTCCGAGAAGTCTGGGATGCAGCTTTGTTCAGCCTGGAGAAGAGGAGGGGAGAGGAGACCCCTGAAATAGGGAGTAGTGAGGTGGGATCGGTCTCTGCTCCCCAGGAGCAAGTGATAAAAGAGAGGAAATGGCCTCAAGTTGTGCCAGGGGAGGGTGAGGTTGGATCTGAGGGGAAATTTCTTCATGGAAAGGGTTCTCAGGGACTGGCAGGGGCTGCCCAGGGCAGTGGTGGAGTCCCCATCCCTGGAGGGGTTCAAGAAGCACCTGGATGTGGCACTTGGGGACATGTTTTAGTGGTGAACAGGTTATGGTTGGATTCAATGATCTCAAAGGTCTTTTCCAACCAAACAATTCCATGATTCTGTGATCCTTTGGTCTGCCCTCATTCATGGTGGGGCTCAGTGTAAGGAGTACCCAAGGCCTGGGCTGAATCTGGCTCAGACCTGGGTTTGGTGCTGGACCCCTCCTGCTCCATGGGCTGGGAACGAGCAGACGTGGTCATTACAACCAGCAGACACATGATTGGTAAGCAACCCCACGCAGAGTCAGTGTGTATCTCCACTGCTACAAGAGGTGCAGTGATAAACACGGTTGCGCGTCTCCTGCTTCATTTTCCTCACCCAGCTGGTGTGAGCTGTCGGATGGACAGATTGCTCTGAAGAGCTCTGTTTAAGGATGTTCCATTTCCATCACCACCCAGAAACCCAGAAAAGCTCCATGAGGGTCAGCTTTTTGTGCCAGAGAGACCCAGGGAGGAGACCCTTTGTACCTACAGCCCCTGCAGTGTGTGGCAGTCTGCGAACCCTGATAGCAACTGAAAACAACAGCGACTAAAGAAGAAAACACAGAAGAAATTTCACCATTTGGAATACAACCTGTGTATTTACACAAATATACCCAGAGCCCCGAAATATTGCTTTGAATTATCACAGGGATGTTGGCAGCATCGGGAACACCTCAGAACTCAAAGGCGGCTGCTTACTTCTCTGTATCACCTGGAAGGGAAATAGGACGTGATATTTGCTAAGGATCCCAGTCCCAAATAACTCTTCTCACACAGTAAGGTCTCATGTGGTTATTAAACCTCTTACAGCTCCTGAAAGGAGGGGGTAGTGAGGTGGCGGTCGGTCTCCGCTTCCAAGTAACAAGTGATGGGATGAGAGGGAATGGCCTCAAGCTGCACCAGGAGAGGTTTAGATTGGATATTAGGAAAAAATTATTTACTGAAAGGGTCAACAGGCACTGGCAGGGGCTGCCCAGGGCAGTGATGGAGTCTCCATCTCTGGAGGGGTTCACAAACCGTGTGGATGTGGGACTTGGGGACATGGTTTAGTGGCCATGGTGGGGTTGGGTTGATGTTGGACCTGATGATCTTGGAGGTCTTTTCCAACCAAATGATTCTGTGATTCTGTTCTATGAAAGCCAAAGAGTCCTCCCTCCTCCTCTCATTGCCTCTGTTCACCCCATGCATTCGATGGGAATTAAATCGTGGCCATCTTTGCGTAGATGAATACGACTGGAAAACCTCTGTGTCAGGCGTGAACCTTCCTGGGAAGCAGCATTTTGAGCACTGCCTGACGGATCTGCCTGGTCCTCATGCTGTAAACGATGGGGTTCAGCATGGTGGGGAGCATCAGGTAGAGGTCGGCCAGCAGAACCCGTGCGCGCAGGGATACGCCGCTGCTGAAATGCTGTGTGTATATGGAGACCATCCCAGGGACGTAATAGAGCAGCAGCACGCAGGCATGAGACCCGCAGGTGCTGAAGGCCTTCCAGCGCGCTTTCTTCCCTAGGACTGTTTTAAGGATCATCCCGTAGGACACGGCAATGAAAGCCACGTCCATCCCCACTATAAGAGAGGAGCCCACCACGCTGTAAAGCCCGCTGGCCCTGGGGTCTGCGCACGCCAGCTTGGCCACGGCCATGTGCTCGCAGTACGAGTGGGGAACCACGCGGGACCGGCAGTAGGGGAGGTTGGTCACCATCCCTGTCAAGGGCACCATGAACAGGAGGGCCCTCACCATGATGGCCAGGCCTATTTGCGCTATCGTTTGGCGGTTCAGGACGGCTCGGTACCTGAGGGGGTGGCAAATCGCAACGTAGCGGTCAACAGCCATGGCCAGGAGCACCCCTGACTCCTCGGACGTTGTGGAGTGGACGAGGAACATCTGGACAAAGCAGGCCGTGTAACCAATCTCCACAGAGTTCAGCCAGAACACGCCCAGCATCTTGGGGACGACGGAGGTCGCCATCACCACATCGATGACCGCCAGCATCCCCAGGAAGCAGTGGACGGGGTCACGCAAGGAGGTGTCCAGCCCAATGACAAGCAAAACTACGCCATTTCCTACCAAGGCGATGACATATCCTGAGCAGAAGAGGATGCCCAGGCAGGTGGGGAAAGCTTCCAGGCTGGGGACACCCACGAGGATGAAGGAGGAGGAGCTGCTGTTGAAGGGCTCAGAAGCCATGCAGGACAATATCGCTTCTGTGCTTAAAAAAAAGGAGCGTGGTTTTGAGCCCTGAGATGCCAAGAACTAAGGGGGACAAGGTAGGGACTCCACTTCAGGGCAAGAGCCAAATCAGGATCCCACATCGTTATTGCAATGTGCCAGACAGGAGTGGTACAGCATAACATGACCAGCAAGGGGGAATGGATCAGAAATGCTGAATAAATGGGACTGTTATGGCTTGAAAGATCCTATAAGGTGAAGAAGTTCGTGTTTCAAGGGATAATCAAGGGATCTCTACAGCTCATTGCTTGTGAAAGGCTCACTTCTCTGTTGGGTGCTCACCACCGCTCTGCTGGCGTCTTGAAATAAGCTGCAAGAGGGGAGAAAAATGGTCAGAGTCCAACTTCCCTCAGGCAACACTTTTACCTGCACATCCCCAGACATTCCTATCCCAGCACAGGAAGTTCCTCCAAATCTGTAGGGCAAAAAGAGGTCTCTGGGGCATTAAGCAGGATCATGAAATTGCTCTTTGCTGCTCTGTCATTCCTTCACGAGAGAGGCCTGCAAAACCAGGCGGCAGACAGAGGGAAAGATTGATTTCTGAGGTGAGAAGAAGAAGGAGAAGCTGGAAGATGATACAGAAACTCCTGAGGACAATCCTGGAGAGACAAGGAGTGTCTCGAGTATGGTGGGCACATTTATTTGTGCCAAAACACAAGTTATACCAGGAAAGGGTTAGATTGGATATTGGGAAAAATTTCGTCACCAAAAGGGTTCTCAGGCCTGGCAGGGGCTGCCCAGGGCAGTGGGGGAGTCCCCATCCCTGGAGCAGTTCAAAAACCAGGAGATGAGGTTCTGAGGGATGCGGTTTGGTGGTGGACAGGGCCTGGTTGGACTCGATGGTCTTAAGGGTCTTGTCCACCCAAATGTCTCTATGATGGGGCTTCTGCTGCTTCTCCCCTCTCGGTGGCAAACCCAGGCAGGGGGTGACCACACCAGATCCCTGTCTCTCAAAATAAATTCCCCGTCTGATGACCCATCAGCTGCTCTTCAGCAAGCAGCAAGCTGATGGTGGACATACTCATGTCAGTGGCAACACAGAGCAAAAATTCACCCGTGTACAGCCCTGCTGCAGGACCATTTAGGATAAGATTTAACAATAGGCACGGCCAGTGTGGCAGCAACGAAAGGCAGAAGATAGACAAGCTCAGAATAAGAATAAAGAAAATACCGGGAGACAACTAAGGAAACACAGCATTTGAAGTTTTAAAACAGGGAGCAGATTTCGTGGGCTTTAAACTACAGCTTAGCCCCAGGTGTGGGGTTACTGCAGAAGCTGCTGGCTAAATGGTCAGGACAGAGGCCTAAATGTCTGCGAATCGGGACGTTTTAGAGGCCGAATCAGGATCAGGATGCCTTTTTAATTACTGCACATAATTGCTCTGCACTGACCCTGCAGTCAACAAACTGAAGGAGGGGAGATTTCGATTAGATATTGGGAAGAAATTTGTTCCCTGGGAGGTGGGGAGGCCCTGGCCCAGGGTACCCAGAGAAGCTGTGGGTGCCCCCTCCCTGGCAGTGCCCAAGGCCAGGTTGGACAGGGCCTGGAGCAGCCTGGGCTGGTGGAGGTGTGACCCCATGGGGATTTTTGGGGGATTTGGGGTCCCTTCAACCCAAACCACGCTGTGACTCCATGTGTGGACACCTACCTGCAGGCACTTACATGAGTCTGAGTCCCGAGCCACATCCCCAAGTGCCTACATCCAAGGCAAAGGCATATTCGCTCTCAGCCGCTGTCCTCTGCAGCCTGCACCGGGCACGGTACCATTGTCAGCATTGCAGCAGCACCGAAGGATCCTCATCACTGGAAAGTCTTGTCCTGGGAGATGGAAAAAGAGCACAGACAAGCTTTGCAAAGGCTTCTCATCCCAGGAAGGGTGAGCACAAGCATCTGTCTCGTGAGGAAGACCATCACCCAGAGGGCGGTGGCAGAACTTCTCTGTGCATCAATAAGTGCAGCAAGGCCAGGGTATTAATCTGTCCTCTTGAAATGCCCGAAGGGACAGCAGATGGAGAACACAGGGACTGAGTTGTTTCTCCTGTGAGGAGATGGAAAATTTCAAGGCTGCCTCAGCTTCTTTCATTAGCTCTCCTCTCAGTGTCCCTCCTTTGGGGACGTGGTGATCTCCAGAGCCTGCCGGGTACCGGCGAGAACAATGCACAGAATGTAAACTCAGTGGAGAAGAATCCCATTGGTTTTACCAGAGAGAGCAAGACGGTTTGGAAACTGTGGGTTTCTGCTCTTCTCTCCACTCAGAACCATACAGCAAACTTCTATGTTTCCCTGACAGGATTTTGTGCAAGAGTCCAGGCAGAGGTGGGATCTCACACTACACCGAATCACAGTCATTGAGGTTAGAAGAGACCCCCAAGATCATCAGGTCCAACATCAACCCAACCCCTCCATGGCCACTAAACCACGTCCCCAAGTGCCACATCCACAGGGTCTGTGAACCCCTGCAGGGATGGGGACTCCACCACTGCCCTGGGCAGTCCCTGCCAGGCCCTGAGAACCCTTTCAGGGAATAAGACGAGGAACGATGCCTATCGATCATGCATGAGGAAACCATAAGTGATGGCAAGCTTCCAGCGGTGCAAAGCCTGCCTTTAAGGATCGTTAGCAGAATGCCAGCTCATCAGGGAATAAACCCCTAATTGTCCCTAATTTATAATCATAGAACGTTTTGGGTTGGAAGGGACCTTTGAAGCTCACCCAGTGCAACCCCCCTGCAATAAGCAGGGACAACGTTACTAGATCAGGTTGTTCAGAGACCCATCAACCCTGACCTTGAATATCTCCAACTTTTCAGCTTATTTTCCAGAAAAAGGTTTCCAGGGGAAATGCGGACATGAACCAATGTGCGAGCAGAAGCACAGAACAAGATGAACGCTGTTCTGAAGTGAATCTTGTCCTTTATTTTCCAGTCATTCATATAAAGTTATCATACCTGGTATAAGGCGATGATGCCTTGCAGTTTCTCCTTTCCAGACAAAGTGGCACCACGTCGTGTTGAGCAGAGGGAACACCCTCAGGTCATGCGCGGGGTCAGGGACAGAATGTTAGACTGCTTTCAATAAAAACTCTTTTATTTAAGCTGTTTTCCTTGGAGTTAGCTCCTTTTGTTGATACGTCTCAGTGACAGGTCAGGAAGTTTCAGTAGACCCAAAGGAAAGATTTTCCTCCCAAGGGAGGTTCCCCCCGTGCTTCTCACACACTTTGGAGCAGTCAGAGTGTGGTTTGGGTTGAAGGGACCCCAAACCCCCCCAGTCCAACCCCCATGGGGTCACACCTCCACCAGCCCAGGCTGCTCCAGGCCCCGTCCAACCTGGCCTTGGGCACTGCCAGGGAGGGGGCACCCACAGCTTCTCTGGGCACCCTGGGCCAGGGTCTCACCACCTCACAGCCAGGAATTGCTGCCCAATGTCTCATCTAAATCTTCCCTCTTTTAGTTTAAAGCCATTGCCGTTTGTCCTATGCACATCTCAGTGAATTTATTGCTTTTGCACCCAGGAGATTCCTGGCTGCTGAGCTGGACCGTGGGGTGCAGACACAGACCCTGCCCCAGGTTGTTTGCAAGTAGGGACCAGTCAGCCACACAGGTCAACACAGACTGGAAAAACACACACAAAAAGATGCCAAAACAGTGGCCTGATCGTCTTCTCCTCTCTTTGGGATGAGTGCTCTTAGGAAGTTCTGTATACATATTTACAATACAGATCCCTCTCATAGCCGTGCTTAGGTGCTCAGTCTACCCAGCAGCTGCCCCTGAGTCCCCAGTCTCCCCAGCTGCCTCATGCACATAGAAATACAGAATGGTTTTGATTGGAAAAGACCTTTAAGATCGAGTCCAACCATTAAACCAGCCCCAAATCCACCACTGGACTATGTCCCTAAGCACAACACCCACTCATCTTCTAAACCCCTCCGGGGATGGTGACTCCACCACCTCCCTGGGCAGCCCCTTCCAGTGCTTGACAACCCTTACAGTAAAGAAATTCCTCCTCATATCCAACCTAAACCTCCCCTGGCACAACTTGAGGCCGTTACCCCTTGTCCTATCACAGCTATGAGGGAGAAAAGACCGACCCCATCCATGCTACCCCTTCCTTTCAGGGAGCTGTAAGTACTCAAGCTCTCTGCAGTAGCTATGGCATCACCAGCAGCCAACCCCGTGGTCTCTGCTGTAGCTCGGACCTCTGGTCCCTCCACCAACGACTCAAACCCTTCAGTTTCTCCAGCATCCAGCCCAGACTCAGCCTCGCTGATACCTGACTCTCAAATCTCAGCTCACTCACTGGCTGATCCTCCTGATTGCTGATGGTTGTGCATCAATGTACATTCCCACCCCATATGTGTGCACCCCAGTCTCTACAGGCGCTGGCACCCTGGGCTCGTGGATCCTGTGCTCCATGATCTCCACTCCAGCAGCCCTTGGTGCTCACACGTGGACACGGATTCAGGGAGCCTCACGCAGGGGTGTTTTTAGAAATAGAGTTTAACGAGAAGACAGGACGGACTGCAGATCAGGCACGAGGCATGGACAGATGAGCATGTTGGCCAAAAGCCTGTCTGTGTGTGACTGGACCCTTTCATCCTCTTATCCTTTAGTTTTCTCCCACTTGTTTCCCCCAGTCTGTCCTGATCCTTCCCATTCCCAGCCTTCGGATTCTCCCCTGATCATCCCATAGTGAGCACTTTGCACAGTCCCAAAAAGCTCTTCGTGTCATCCCATACTGATTGTCCCCCCACCCCATGTCACTTTGCCAACAGGGACAACCACTGCCATTGACCAACTTGGAGGTCTCCCATCAGAACAAAGAGAGGAAAAGGGTTGTCCCCACCAAAATCCATGATTTCCAGTGCTATGACTATTATGGGATAGATACATCTTTATTGGTCAGCTTGGATCATACCCAGATCATCTGTTCTGGATCCCAGAGAGTCCCAGGCTTTCGTT